GGGGACATGAATACGAAGAAGAGCTGCCTAGCAAAGATGAATGGAAGCGCCTGGTCGAAGTTTTCGAACACGAAATTCCCGAAGAATTCCAAGTGTGCTTTGTTACTGCCTGAAGCCTCCACGTGGATTCAGGAGACAGCGCGCTTGCGCCTCCGATAACCCAAGTTAGCCCTTCAGTCCTGCTCGGGGAACCCATATTACAAGTATCTGACCTGACCGATGATTTGGAACCCCCTCGCACTTTGTACGGAGGAGCTCTTTCCTTACGAATGCGTTATCAGCAAACGGAACAGTATTTGGATGTTTTTGTTTTTCCGCCCAGATCGTTACTAACGACAGGAGCCACCATCGCCTTGATTAAACAGGAGGCGGAAGCACCGGTAAGTGATGTACCTGATCTGATGCAAGAAATGACGGATCTAACGGGGCTAATTGTGGAACCGACCTCGGTTGGTTCAGAGACTGATGCTGAAACTAAAGAAACGGAGATGATCAGCCCCGCTGAGTCCCAGATGATAGCAACTGTCTTCTCTGTTCACACCAGTAGTTCCGTTTTCTCTAGTGTCTATAATCGGCAGGAACGGCCGGTTGATTGGGTTGATATGCCCCTTTAAGATTTCCGGGGAATCAACAATCACCCTACCGAGTCACGTTCCCGCGGAACTTCAGGAGTCGTTAATCTGTGTGTTAAATGGTTATGCAGAAGTATTGAGCATATACGATAATGACATCGGCTTAACTAATGTGATCGAGCATGCCATTCTCACGGGAGATCACCCACCCATTAGCTGCGTTCCTTACCGATACTCGCCAGCTCAACGAGCGGCCGATTTTCAGCGGATTAAAGAGTTCGGAGCTAATGGATGGATCGAGCCCGCAATAGGTCCCTGGTCTTTTCCCGTAGTAATCGTGCCTAAAAAGGCCAGAGGGATTCGCATTTGCATTGATTATCGAAAGTTGAATGATATCACGATGAAAGATGTGTACCCCCTCCCCCGGATTGATGAGTTGTTGGATGCGATTGGGAGTGCTCGATTTTTCAGTAAGTTTGATGTTCCTCATGGGTTCCATCATCTTCTTGTTCGGGAAGAAGATCGTCCGAAAACGGCGTTTGTGCTTTTCGAGGGTACGTGGCAGTGGATTCCATGTCCGATGGGTATCTGCAACGCCCCCGCGACCTTCCAGCGAGCCATGAACATGGCTTTTCAAAATTTCGTGCGGAAGACTCGTTTGGCGCAGAGCATCATCAACTACTGCGTGATTGTGTACATGGATGACATCTTGGTGTACTCGAGTTCCTACGAGGGACACGTGCAGCACATCGAATGGGCACTGCACGCGATACGAGATGCGGGTTTCAAAGTGGTGCTTGAGAAGTGTCAGTTTTTTCTTAGCACCATTTCCTTCTTGGGGCACGTGGTGACAGACAAGGGACTCCAACCGGAGCCGCAGAAGGTGGCAGCTGTCAGGGATGCGCCGGTGCCTACAACTATCACGCAAGTTCGCGCCTTTTTGGGCTTGGCCTCGTACTACCAAAAATTTATCAAGGGCTTCGCGACGATTGCGGGACCCCTCACAAATCTGCTGCGCAAAGATCAGCCGTTGATCTGGACGCCGGTGTGCGATCAAGCGTTTTCCAAACTCAAGGCCGCTCTCATTTCGGCTCCGGTCGTTATAAGACCGGATCCCGAAAAGCCTTTTGTTCTCATCACTGACTGGCAGCTTGAAGCAATTTCGACGATCCTTGCCCAGGTGGGACCGAGAATGTGGTGGAGTATGCGTCCAAATCGGTGCCCGCCTGCAAGCGCAACTACGCCGCTCCAACGGGAGAATGTTACGCGGCTCTCTGGGGAATCAGTCACTTTCGTGCTTACTTGAATGGGCAAAAGTTCACCTTGGTAACCGATCATGAGCCCCTGTAGCTCTGAGGAAATCGAAGGATTACTCGGGCATGATCGGGCGATGGGCAACGGTGTTGCATAGCATGGACTTTGACATTCGTCATCGGAAGCACGAGAGACACGGGAATGCGGACGGACTGACACGACTGCACGGGCCTGAGAAAGTTCCGAAGAGTGAGGAGGTGATTCCGTGGAACGAACCTGAAAAGGAGATCGTACCTCGGTACGACCAAGTGAAGATCTTACCAAAGCAGTAAGTGACACGAGGACTAATCTGACCGTTCTACCCTCTCTGCAATACAGTCCCATCCCTTCCTCCTCTGTCATCATGACTACCCCACCTGCCTCTGCAACCCCTTTATCTCCTACTAATTCTGCCCCTCTCACGTCCTCAGCTTTCTTTGCCACCCTCCCCTATAAATACTGTTATTTTTGCATGTGCATTGCACGGGTTTATGGGGTCGATTGTCATCCTTTCGAAACCGGGTTTGTCGATTTGGTAGAATGTGCCATGTGTGTCAATCGTGCGCACGGGGCCTGCGTTCGATATCGGACGAGTAGCAAGGAATGGAGGTGCCCCCTGTGTGGAACGAACAAACTCCCCACGGAGGTTCGATTCGAGGCCGCCCATACGGACGGCCCTGAATACGACGAAAAATACCGAAAAGCGGAGGTTTGAACGGATAAAATTTTATTGGCGAAATTAGCGGGATTATCATTGGGTCACATCACCAAACACGACAGACGTAGGGCGACCGAGAGATCTCGGGACTATCGATGGATCAACGATCATTTGGAAAAGCGTAAAACTGACGGATCGGGTTCGTGGTTGACGGTTCCCCATCCATTCCAGAGATATGATTGGATCCGATCTGCTCACGAAGAACAGACCGCTCATTTTGTGATACGTGTCACGGAGGCAACTGTAGACAAGAACCGATGGTTCTGGTCCAATATACGAGATGATGTCAAATACATTGTCGCCAACTGTCTGGTCTGTGCCGCTGATCGCGCCTCAGTACGGTGACCAAACACGATAGTACCGACGGAAGTAGAGCGTCCTTTCCAGGGAGTCAGTATGGACACGACAGATATCGACGTGCCACCTGGACCAAACCGCTGTGAATATTCTATCCTGTTAGTATTAATAGACCATTTTTCCAAGTACATCGAAGTCTATCCCTGTAAGACCCGAAAAGCCGCAGAAATAGCCACGTACATCGAACGGCTCCTCTATACCCATCTAGATACGGAAGAAATTCTAACCGACAATGGGTCTGAATTCAAGGGTGAGGTGGAAGAACTGCTTGCGCGAAGGGGCGTCACCTTCCGACATACGGCACCCCACGTGTCCCAGTCGAACGGGTTGGCCGAAAATGCCAACCGTATGATTAAAATCGCCCTTCGCAGGAACTTAGCAGCACACGACACGCGTCCGTGGTCCGAGATCATATATCTGATCGTCGGGATCCACAGGGCCACTCCTCATGAGTCCATGGGGTTTACCCCTTTTCAGCTTCGAACTAATAGCCTCCCCTGTGTCGACTACCGGGGTTACTCGGAAATTGCCGAAGCAGGGGGAAGAGGCACGCGTGCAGCCCTCAAGGCGAAGGCCAAAAGGTACACCGAATTAATGGAACGGGCCGTCCCGAAGCTAGCGCGAAAAAGACAAAGGATGACCGAACTGGCCCACTGTAGACAGGTCCGTAGCTACGAGGCTCGGAATTGAAATGTTGGGCCCCAACATCAATATAAATTAGGGGACCTAGTGCAGGTACGTAAATGTGCACGCGACCGGAAACTCGCTCCCAAGTTTTCGGGTTGTTTTCGCGTTGTCGAGGTTCGGACCCAACGGCGCCAACACGGTGCGCATCGCGCCTGAGGCCAGTGCCAGCCATAGCTCTGTCCCCATCGTCCGACATACCTCCTACCTCCGTCTTCTTCCTCCTTCTCATCTTTTTCCCTCTTCCTCCTCGGAAAGCGAGGAGAACGACGACGATCTAGCTCTCTCTCCGCTCTCTCCCTCCTGTCCTTCGTCCTCCTCTCCAACCTCGCCATGAGTTTCGTCACGGAGCGGGCTCTTGACGAACAACTGTTGCAGCCACGTGGCCACATCTCAGAGATTCGACAAGTTTGTCATCCTCGTCTCAATACGGATCTTCGGCATTTGGCACAATTTTTCTGCGACGTGGGTGTGTGTGCCGCCGCCGCGTTTCGAATCGAAGGGAATCCTCACGCAATAGTATTTGCGGAGGCGATCGCAGTTCATCGGCGAGCGGCTCCCTGAATGAGTTACGTCACCACGGTTGCTGCGTTCAGCGGCGACATCAGCTCGGTCAATCCGCAGAGGCATACCGCGATCTTCACTTCGCTGCGCGAGTGGACGGAGCAGGTGTCCGACATGTGGCAGCACGTCCTCGTCCGACCTGGGCACAACCTCATTCCGACCTTTGCGCCGGATCTTGCACAAGAGGTTAACGGTGCATCTGGTTTTCAGGCCTGAAACTTATGAAATAAGGGTTTTGGGCTTAAATTTCATGTTGTTTTGGAATTTTAAGTTTTTGCGATATATGCATTTTGATAGGGTTGCCGTATATGAAATTTGGGGTTATTTGGAGTTTTAGAATTTGCGCTATTAAGATTTCTGAAATTCCTGAATTTTCTATGATGGGGTTGTAAGAAGTGCACTCTATAGATTGGTGTGAAGTGTTGTTAAAATGATTGTCTGGTTTTCTTATAAATGGGCCTGAAAAATGGGTGCTCGGTTAACCTGCTCTAGGATCTTGGCGACATCCGGCGTTCTCTGCGCAAGTGGCCCGTTGCAATCCCCACCCTCGTCCCCTTCCCCCGTCCCCAATGAACCATGCCGATCCTCTCGCTCCTCTCTCTATCTTCGGTCTCCCCTCTCTTTTCCCCACCTTCTGGCAATCCGATCTTCATCCTTCTCTTTCCTTCTCGTTCGAGCCTCTTTCAGTCCCTCTTATCAATCCTGGGCATTGGCGGCTGTGGCGCGAAACTTTTAACGAGTTGTCCTTCTGCTTGGCCCGAGTACGGGTAACGTGGACGCGAACCAACGAGCATCCTGCGTGGATTGAGAGTGTGGAACTGCTGATCATACAGGCTTGGAGGACTAACGTGGAGGGCGATCTTTTTGGATTTCTCTTTGGATCGGTACAGCCGGGGCGCCGCCAGTTGATTGCCCAGATGCTCATCGCGCCGATCGTGCAATTAGCGGACGATCTCTCGCCCGACATCTATTCGCAGAGTGACGACAGTCCTGCTCCGCATGTTCTCGAGCGGTCATTGGATCCGTACCTTCAGTGGACTGCGTGCTTGGAGGAGCCCAGGGACGAAGATACGCTGCCGTCGCGCCAGGAGTATCTGAAGCCGTACGATATCATCCCTCACGCCTTCTATCCGAGGGCGGAGGAAGTAGTGATCGACGACGACGACGACGAAGAGGACGAAGACGAGGAAACATCGGAGGAGGGAAGCTATAACGAATATAGCGAGGGAGAGTTGAGTGAAGAAGAAGAGGAGGAAGACGACACTGGATCAGAGTGGGAAGCCTTGCCAGAGGAAGCGACGTGCACGGGAACAGAGACGGAAGATCCGGAAGCAGCGCGAAGAAATTGCCACCGGGAAGCGCCAGCTGGAGTTTGCCAGCGGAGCCGGCTTGCGCATCGGTAACAATCCGACCAGAAATCCGGAGCCGCCAAAGCCCGAAGATGGCGACCCTCCAGCCGCCACCTCAAGTGCCGCGCGACGGAGACGAAGTCGATCTCCCTCCTCCTCCAGCCCCACCTGTCCCCCAGTTCGCCCACGTACCGATGCGGGCGATAGGCCTTCGTCCTCGGACGCTATCCCGCCGACCCCTTGATTT